ATTTGCTTTAAAGTCAGTCAGTCAACAAGCCCAATGACATACCATTTTAATTCCACTGTCATAACCAAGCTGGGCAACACATACGTGTGTGTGGGAGTAGGGGCTGGGGGTATGTGGAGGGGTGTGTGTATATATATAGGTTCACACAGTTAATAGGCTGTGAAGGGACTCCTGGCACATGGTGAGAGGCTATGCTGCAGCTGCGCAGAGATAACAGAGACAAGGCAAGAGGTTCAGGAGGATCCAGAAGAGGGCATGCAACCAAACTCCTCTTGATTTACACCATCCCCGTCTGAGGTCTGTCTTGGGATCCAGCACGTCCTTGTCCTCCTTGCCATGGCCAAGCTGGCCATCTGCATCATGAAGCAGATGAGGGGGGACAGCGTAGCTGAGAGACTGTGAGGCCTCTCACCAGTCCCTTGTCCCATCACATCCCTGGGCAGAGCACTGGGCAGCTGCTGGGAGGCCACCTGGGAGCGCTGGAAGCTCTGCTCAGTGACCCTCCCTGGTTACCTTCAGACCCTCTTTGGAGCCTTGCAACCCTCACACCTCTCCCTTTTTTTTTTTTCAGCCTGGGAGCTGACTGTTTTCCCCTGCTTTTTGCCTTTTTCTTCTAGCCCTTTGCTGGTACAAGAGAGCTGGATGGTTTTGTTAAGAGCCAGTCCCTGGCTGAAAGGAGAACGGTAACAGTGGCAGCTGTGCAGCCTTACCATTGACAAAGAACAGAGGGAGATGGGTGCAGGACTGTGCCTCTGCCTTAGCATACGATACAAAGCAACATGTCTCTTGACACCCATCCTCTACTCATGTCGCAGGGCAGAATTCACAATGCTGAAAGAAGCAGACATTTGAATGAAAAGGCAGAAGAGAATTTCTAACAATATGTTACTGGCTTGTATTGCAAGCATTTTTGAGGCAAAGATACCACTCACTGAGCATGCTTTCTAGTCATGAAAGACATAAATAATACTAATTATTAATTTTACTTTCTTGGCACTACCTCAAAGTTACATAGCTTTAATGATTTTGATGTGTTTTATTCTCAGAACTAAAACTATTACAGCTGAACATTGCTATCAGTGAGCATCTAAGAAATGGAAACTTCGAGCAGTACTGACATGTTATGAGCTACCTACATCATAACGATGCCCTTCCATCTACAGGAATCCTTGCTTTCTTATGAGATTTAAGTAGGGTCTTCATATGAAGTTCCTTAAAAAATAATTATTTTCTGAGCATTGAAAGGCTCAGAAAAGAAAGTCACTGATTTCAGAGATGATTTAGGTGCCTATCGCAGTGGACTAGCGCCCTTAGTGCTGCACTGAAAACATATAGACATGATATAACTCCGAGCATCCAACTTCCATGGCAGTGCCAAATACATAGAAGCAGCTCCTTGGTTGTTCTTGGTTTTGCTTCCGTTTGTTAGGTTGTCAGCTTTAAAAGAAAGGGATGGAAATATAAACAAAAGGCTCAATTTCATCTTCACATTATAAGTAAAAGTTTGTAAAGATGAAATTGTGATTTGCCACTGTAAACTCAATGCTTTAATGGATTGCAGCAGAATAATATATTGCATCTGCCTTCTTTTGCCTCAAAACCAGCAATAGTACTGTACATATAATCATTTTAAGATGCAAAAGTTTAAAATAAATGAGGGACCTGAGGCAACATTTAATAGGAGCATGTGTATTGATGTATCAAAGGAGCTGATTCACAGTGTAGAGTATTTAAGCTACACAGCCTCCATCAGCAATTTCAGATAATGTTTAGCTACTGGCCTTCCAGAGTTCTGGAAGCAAAAGTCTGGAGCTAAGCAACACCTGCAATCTCAAATTTTTGGTTTAAGGCTAATCTGAGATTAGAAGCAATGATGAAAGAGGATGTCTTTAACACATCGTGATCATCCACCAGCTTAAACACCAAAACCTCCAAAATGAGTTCAATAGAACAGTCAGTGCACTTTCACGGGCACTGCAGGACACACCTGAGCATGACATTCTGTGCATCGAGGGGAGGAGATCGCTGTAGAGGTGGCTTTTTAAAGTGTGACAGGCTGGCAAGCGGAGTTCAGTCTCTAAAAGACCTCTATCCTAGTAATCAAAAGCAACAACGAACCTCAGCAGCTTTGTTTATCATTTGCAGAAGCAAATTGCAAAACCTCATGGAATTACAGCCACTATGCTTGCTCCAGAGTTCTACTGTTCAGAAGCATTTGTTCAATCTTTCTGTTACAGAGAAAACTTCACTTTGAGTCTTCTGAGGGTAAGCCACTTCCTAAGGGAAGACAATTTCTGGCACCTGGTGGCATAATGGAACTGAGTCCTTCACACACAGTCTTACAAGACTGGAGATCTTGCAACAAGCACTGCCAAAGAAGTAGCTATACTTCAGCAAAACCCAAGTAAACGTTTGTTGGAGGAAAGTCAAAAGATACAAGAAAGGAAAGGTGTTTGGCACATGGAGGTTGATAATACTACAGCTTAGTTTGTTGCTCATAACCTTTTATTCAGGCTATTTTCCTCTTCCATGCGACTGAGGGAGATGCCAAAGGCTAGATAACACAAAGAATTCAAGTTACCTAAAGTGAGACTTAGGCAGATTCTGCAATGAAACTATCATCCTGTTCCTTACCTAAAATTATCAGACACTGCAGTTTGTAAAATTAGGAGCTGTTTGCATTGTTTCACCTCTTTACATATGCCCAGTCTTGGTTCCTGGCTCACTCTCAGGGCCATCAGAGAGTGGGAAAGCAGACATTTCTTCTCCTAAATCTCCTAAGGACCTGACTTGCCAGGAACTTCCAGCACCTCAGATGTCAGTAGGATCAAGTTGCTCAGAAAATACAGCAGACACCAGTGAATGCTACGCCATGCTGGAATGGGTGCAATGCACTCTTTTTGGTCACTGCTGTTATAATTGGACCATTAGTTCAAAAAGAAGTTGTGCTGCCTTAACCCCATTTCTCTCTGAGAAGACACAAGCTCATACCTGACTAAGTCATGCCTTTCTTAGCTTGTGACACTGTCCATCTCTTCTTTTGAAGCCATACCACAATGCAGCAACAAAACCCAGGTCTCACTAGACCAGAACGTGAGCACAAGTGTGCACTGGCCTCCACTCAAGGCTCTCAGTCATGGGCGGAGGAGCAAAGCGGGCTCTTCACCAGCCACTGCAAACCAACCATATATGGCTGATGGACACATCTGTCTCCTCCCAGCTGATCCTGTTTTTCCCTTCAATGCAGCCATACTCACTCTTCGGTTCAGTGACTTCTTTTCTGCAGTCTCTAGCTCAACTAATCCCTTTGTGCACAGTGGCACAGCAGGACCAGGAGGAGTGGAGGATGTTTCTTGGTCAGATTAGTCTAAAAGTTGTTAATTAGGATAAGCTAGTGGAAGGCAGGGTGTGGGTTTGGGCATGTCCCTCCTGCTCCTTAGAAGAGAGAATTGAACCCACACCCTGGATCAATACTTCATGGGTCTACAATAAAGCGTCTGCCATAAGATGGAGGGCACTGCCACTCTTCCCCTGATTTAAAGGGCAGCCCTGTTCCATGCTTGTAAAAGACAAGTACCAGCCCTGAATTCCCAGAGATGTTCAGGCCTGTAGATCCTCAGAGGATGGGAGACTTGCTGTAGGCCTGAGTGAGATGCCTGAACAATGGGAATCATCCATTCAGCACATGGATTTTTTTTGAAAACATTCAGAGGCACCGCGGCATCTAATGTTCTGGCATTTACTTCTATCAGGCACTTGGGCGCACATTTCCAGGACACAACGCATTCTGCACTGACCTTCTCCAGCTCCTGCTGATAAGCAAAACTACTGCTGCCCATCTAACTGAGCCTTTTTTAAACTAGATGCAAATATTTTTTATCCTATTTAATGTCTCAGTTAGGCACAAGCAGGTGAAAAATTTCTGCCTCGTGACAGCAAAGAGTTGAGAAATGTCTCCTCGTTGCCAACCTAGACGGCAGAAATATCATAGACTTGCATACAAGACAATTGTTTAATACGTTCACAAATCAATTTTATTAATTTAAAACAAAATTAATGAAGAAAAATTCTGTACACAATTGTGGACACAACACACTTTTTGTACAATAAGGCCCAGATAAACTGTTTGTTTTTTTCAGTCCATAAGTGACTAAAAATTGAAAAGAGAAAAAAAAAAAAAAAAAGATAACCAACTCCCCATCACTGTCTACTTTGTTTGAGGAAAAAAAAAGGCTAATCATAGTCTCAATTCTAAAAACTACCCACAACGTGCTTTATGTACGTATGTGAGTACTGCATGAATTCCAGTACTCGTACTGGGTAAAGTAAAGCACATGTGCAAGTCTTGGTAGGATAAAAACCTCTCCGTTGGTAATAAAGCAATCCACAAACATTGAATTCTAGCAGCAATATGATTCCTCCAATAGAGAAGGGTGTTGTTGTGTAGCTACATGGGTGCTTTGTAGCTTTGCAGGTAGCTGTTTCAAGGCTGGTGTTTCTAGCAAAAGAAAACAAGAAGAAAAGCTGGAGAATGAACCAACAAAGCCGAGGCTTCTTTTCAATGAAGAGATTTAAATCGGGTAAAGGGAATTGGTACAATTCAAGCTGAAACGTCAGACTAACAGTTTATCTGACCAAGTAGCGCATAGCCTTCAAGATTAGAAAAGTCACAAGCCACAGACAGACACAGTCTAGGTTTGTCCTGTAAATGGGCATAGAAAAAAGCAAATTTTAACTCCTTGGTGACAACTAATTGAGTACTTCCATTGCCGGCAATGGATGTTATATCTTAGGAAAATCTGACTCCTGGTGGAAGAGGACTAAAAAAATTAAATGTATATGATTATTCTTGCCCAATTTCTCCAAAATATTCCCATTTCTAATTTCTAAAAATAACAATGATGATCGTTTCCTTCATTTATGGATGAGACAAAAACAATTTGGTACCAAGATTCCAGTTTAAGTCATGTCTTAAAATATATTTGTATTCTCTCTCTCTATTTCTTTATGGAATGGATCTGCTAATTAATTTTTCAATACTTTAAAAAAAGGTTAATATGTTAACTTTAAAAGAGGAAACAGAAGACAGCAAAGCACTCCTCTTCAGTTGTGTTTTATCTATATTTCCTTTGTAGGGGGAAAGAAATAAATCCGTTCATAATCAGAGTAGGTGAGAGAAGAAAAAGGTAGAGAAACAGCTGAGAAGAACAAAACCCAATTCTTATTGACACTTGACATCCATGCTTTTGGTCTTGACAAATTTATCTAAAAAAAATCCATTATCTACATATTTATACCCAACACATTGATAAGGCACTGCACAACAGTTTGTGCACAGGTGGCCTCATTCTTCACCAACAAGGCATTACTATCTTTCAATAGCATTTACCTTAACAATATGTAAAAGAATCATTCATTATTACAAATTTACACAAAAAATTCTTCCTGTACATGATTGTCTCAGTGATGTACCTATTAGTTTAAATTAGACATATTTTAAACTACTCTGTAATGTGCTAAAATCAAAAGTAGTTGCTGTACCATAAGGCAAAGGCTTATAATAGCCTTTAATCCTATTATACATATCCTCAGTTATATGATGTCAAACTATAGTCTGTTCATAAATAAGTAAAGATGTACAGAGTACCCTGGGTATGAGAAACCAAAAAGTAAACCTTCTTTACAAGAAAATTACTCCACTGGTATTTTGAAAAATCTCAGTCTTCATTGTGCAATCAAGTTTGCTGTGTTGGAGAAACGGTGTGTGTCACATTGAAGAGTCTAAAAACTACAAAGCATTTGCAGGTCCTTTTTTTTCTTCACAGGTATGAACCTTTTATTTCCTTTTTTTTTTTTTTTTTTAATTCCTTCTCTATTTCTTTTTGGTAGCAAATACGGTAAAGATGAGCTGTTCAAACATTTGCATGGCTTATTTTCGTTGGACTCACAGTACCAGAGTCAACAGCTGTTCTGAAGAAAAAGACATGCTCCTCCGTTTACTGAAAGGGCAAGGGTTAAGACCAATTGCAGCTGTACGTCAACATGTTGAAATCACAAAGTTCTGTAGTCCAATGCTGACACAAGACACAGGCATCCCATCCATGGGCAGAAGGAGGCTCTGGGGTTTCAAAGTGCTGCTGAGCTGCTACAAGTACTCCAGTTCCAAGGCATGGTGAAGGGCCATAAGGTCAGAGTGGCTCGAGATCCTCCAAAATGGCATAGCATGCTGCGAACAGCACAGACAACATGTAAAAATAACCTCAAGCATTCTGGTATTTAGACCCACCCATTGTCTTTCGCAAGAATAAGGGAATGCTGCGAGGAGAGAAAAAGAGCTATTAAAACCTCCAGACATTCACATTTATCTCTGGTTTCTCTGACCCATCCCCTTAGCAGAAATTCTAAATAATAGCAGATCTATTTACCAATAGGAACAATAGCAAACATGTCAGGAGATCATAAGGAAGGGAAGGGATTCTCATCTCTTTATAAGAAAAACGGATTTCAGCAAGTTGCAGAAGAAATTATTTCTAGAAAAAAAAACTGAGAAAAATAACATATACATGAAGCATGTGGGTAGTTTGAGGAAAGGAACAGACCTTGATTAAAACCCCAAAAATATAGGAAGTGAATGCATTATTTACTATCAAAACGTGTTTGTTCCTTGTGGAACTACCCCTGGCAGATGAGTTGAGAACATAGCCATGGTGATCCAGAATAGCTCATGTGTTGCTCACATCACTTTGAAAGGAATTTTATCCCAGTGGCTTGTATAACATCGCTCATTGTTAGCACTGATCGTAAAACATCTTTTCAATATGGGACAATTTTAAAATAAACACATATTTTTTTCCTATTAGTTGTAATAAAATCTATCTGGAGCACAAATATGTTTGCAAAGAACATGAATCAACCCAAAACACAAATACCAGGAAAAAGCTCACATTACCTCATCCATGAAGTGTAAAAATCTGATTAAGAACTATATTTACACTTTAAACCAGGGATTATACTGTCAGCAAGAACTTTTGCATAAATAAAAATAAAAGATAATCATCAGCTTTCGTCAGGAAAATATTGTACAAATCCCATGGGAAAATAGTTTCAATCCAACAATGTTCTGAAGGCTAACATGATCACATTCACCTTTTCATTGGGTCAGCTAGTGTCCTGGCATCTTTAGGAGGGAAACCACAAGCAATTTAGTATCACAATAGCTTTTGAGTTCCCCAAGCATTTTATCTACAACTTCTCAGAGAGGCTTGCTTCGTCCTCCTTCAGCACCTCCTCAGTAAATTCCTAATTCTACTGAAATCAGTGGCAAAACACCATCTCTTCTGATTATCACTTCTACACTGACCTCCTTTTTTCGTTCAGGTCTTCTCAAATTTTAAATCAGAGAACAATTTTGAAAACAATGTGAAACTCTTGGTTCCCAGCTGCGTGTTTACTGAAAGCCCTATAATTTTACCTCATACCTCTCTCAGAAGGCAAACACCTCAGCATAGAGCCTATCATAAATTTGTCTTTAGAAGCTCAGGTAAACATCTGTCTGCCAGTATATAAATAATTACTGTTTTTAGACAAATGCTGCTTCAGTCTGGATAATGATATAGTGATGAGTTGGGTTGAATTTATAAAATAAAGCAGAGATTTTTAAAAGAAATGTAATCATGTAAGTAGTAGCAAGTGTCTCAGAAGTCAAATGGCAACTGTTAAGGAACAGTCAGCCGTTGATCTTGCGAGAGTCGGAGAAGATAATACTGAATTAATTAACATTAATAAGCAAGAATAAAGAGTAGTACATGATCAGCAAGGGAGCACCTTGGTGTCATTGTGGAAGAAGTGCCTATTAGTAGTTGGAAAGCATTTGGTGAGCACCTGAACAATATATTGTTCTATAGTTCTATTCAAAAGAAATCTGGGGTTTTGTTTTTGGGCTTTTTTTTTTTTTCCCCCTAAAACCAGTGCAGGATTTTAATCAAAGCATAGTGAGGGGGAATGACTGGAAGATTGGCTTCAATATGATGCTCTTGATTTGAATTAAAATGTAATATCGATGCATCAACAGATGCCCACACTCAGAGTATGCCTAGCTTTTAGGACAAAGGAATTTCTTCAGGAAGAAAACAAAATGACCCACAAGGAAGCACCATTAGAAGAGTTTCTGTTCTGCTTCACTTTATTCTAGACTGTTACAAAGCCTTGAGAAACAGTTGATTAAATCTCAGCTTGACAGCTGCTTATGGAGAGAATGATACAAACGAAAAAAAACCCACAGAGACAATTGAAATGTTCTTGGAAAAAACCAAGACATTTCCAAAACACTTTTACAGATTAATCCTTTCCTTCAGAAGGAAGTGTTAAACACTGGCTATGACATCTACTATTTCTACATCTTCAGTCTTGACTTCCGTTATACTGTTTCTACACTTCACCAGCAACGGAAACCAGATGCAATTAGCTTACTCAGTCACAACTCCAAGTCCCAGTGTCTTCCCTGTTACATTATACAGATAGTCTATCCTCTGCACTCTGTCAGGTCAGACACTGCTGCTTTCCAACTCAAATCTTCCCTAAAAATTCATTTCTTCCACCATGTTCAGGAAATGAAACAGCAAGAGCAAAACAAAACAAAAATTCCTGTTCTCCAGACTGTTCTCCATTCCTGTTCTCCATACTCTCCAAAAGCTTCCGTGCACCCATCTCTCATTTAGGCTGCAAGATCTTCCTGGCAGAATTTCTAACATCTGATAGGGGTACTACAGCAAGGACAAAGAGGCGCAGTCTGTGCTCGCAGCAGGTCCGCGCAGCGTTTGCCAGCTGACCACGCCTGACTCCCTTTCTTGCACAGCTGCAGTTTCCCTCTTCTCTCACAAGCCTCCTGCCAGGTAGGACCTGCCTGCTCTCCGTGCCAGCCAGCCACAGCTCCCTGTTTCTCTTAGTCAGCTCGGCACCAGCTCCGCCTCAACCCCCACGTCTAGGAGGTGTAAACAGCGGACCTGAGAGGCGGCGAAGGATTCGGTGGACACCTGCCTTTGCGCAGTATCTCTGCAGCAGCCAAGAGGCAATGACATGGACGCCCTCCAAGGTCACACAGCAAACTAATGAATAGGGAGAACTGTAGTAATAAATTCTTGGCTTCCAGCTCCCACGTCATGCAGCTCCAGCATTATACTGCTTCCCTAGTAACAACCTCAGCACCACAGAGCGTACACACACCAGGCAGCTGGGGCAGTTAAAGGCTCTGAGTGATTTAACAGAAGGTTTAGCTTCTGCTAAATCAAACCACAGCGATTCTCGCTAGATGCCCAAGTGCAATATGGAGTTTTGGATTACTCTCAGCTGTTTATGGTCAGATTTTAAACCAAAACTTTAAGTGGTCCTTGTTTTGGCTATATCTTTCTAGTTCAAATTCACTTAAGTGTCCTTCGCTTCCTTTATGTCTGTCTGTGAAAGGAGTGTACCTCCATTTACTCCATGTAGTTACAGGAGTGAGTGCCTGGAGAGCCCCAGGCACAAAGAGGTCGTGTAAATCTCAGGATTATAGTTATTTTCAGTTTTCTTGCATATAGGTCAAAAGACCAGCAGCATACTCCCAAGAAATAAAGCACGTCAGGAACGCGGCGGCTGCACGGGGCTGGAATCTGCACCGGTGCTCTGTGCACGGCCGAACACGGCCGATTCAGATTCCTATCAGTCTGACCCCATGGCACAGCCGTCATAGCTAAGAGGAGGGGAAACAAACCTGATACGGATCTATATATATCTGTACGTATGTGTTTGTGTATATATATAGCCCCCCACACACGTGCCCATAAACACACGTGTGTTCACCGGGCACATGCAGTAATTTTCACCTTATCTAAGATAACAAATGATTGTACAAAACTGAAACATTTAAAGTAACAAAATTATCATACAAAACCTTAAACTTTATTCCTGTATTAGCATGTCTCATTTATCCACAAGTATTCAGCCCTGTCAAAAGTGGCAACACACCCATAAGACAGAAGTACATTTTTTCTTACCAAACGACCGGGCAAGGGTTTCTTTGTATACATATTTACTACATATTGCCTTTAGAAACCCACCCCTGCCAACACTTACCACATGTGTCATGTACGACACGTGTCTTCTATTCTGAGCGCACTGAAAAATGCTAATATCTCATTTACTGCTGTGGGAGAACGGATGACAAATGCTAACCGTTAATAAACAGGCAGTGTCACTGGATGTGTTAGTATCTAATGAAACTATAAGAAAACTTTTCTTATTGCATATTGGAGGAATATGCATCTAGACTGATAGTAAAATGATGATTTTGTGTTCTATTTCAATAGTTTCCAAGTAAACACGAAGCTTTTGTCTTTTAAAAAACATGAATTGTTTTGTAGATGTTTAATAACTCGATACTTGGTAATAAATATATTTATGAACTTTTTAATGATTTGATTTTGACGGCATGTTGAAAGGAAATATGGTGGCAAAAGTTTGAATTTGCTTTTGATGTAAAAAGCAAGAAAAGTGAAACTTAATTTAGTAAACCTAATAATTCTAATATTGTTAAATAACCTAAAAACATTAAGGTATTTTAGTTCTAAAATAGAAACAATATTATTTTTCAGTATGCATTTACTAAAAGAACAAACTTCAACTATTTTATTTAACAAAACAAATTGTATCTATTAATACACGTGCAAAACCAAGCCATTTCTTGACAGCAACACCGAACAGCATAGACTATCCTCCTTCCCTTAAATGAATACATATTTATACAAAAACCTTACTCCTGAGATTTGTGACAGATTTGAATAGAAAACTCATCAGTTTCTATCATCTTTCACAGTATTTTTGTTGCATAATTCCTGCCAGATTTGCTAAGTGTCCATCTTTACTTTCTACTCCAAACCTGACCAGCACAGTGTGACTGTGAGCTTGAAAGCAGTGGCATATTGGATACCCATTTATATTCTATTTATTGCTCCACAAAGATTTATGATTTTTCCTCCCAATTTCCCTCCGAGGCAGCATGACCATTTTGGAGACAAAGGGAGAGGCCGATTTGCCAAAGATCTCCTGAACCACCTGATGTAAAATCCAGCTCCTCAGTGCAGAGAGGCTCCTCCTTTGTCTCCTCTCACAAATTAGGAATCCTTTGGAGGATTCTCCTAAGTAGAAAAACTCAGGAGTTGTTTTTTTCCTGCCTGACAAGTATTTCCCAACTGTGTCTCCAAAGGCAAAGAAGATGAGCTCAAACAAACCAAACCAAAACACAAAACAAAGCAAACCAAAACAAAACGCCAAGATAATGGAGTCCCTGGCAGAAAACTCCAGAAAGTTTTTCTGAGAATAGCTATGTCACCGTGGTGGCACTCGGATGCAGCAGCCACCCCGAGCAGCCCTCGGCTCTCACACCACTTTCCCTCTCCCCTCTTCTCCCTCTTTTCCCAGGGAAGCTGATCCAAAGGTAGCAACCTCCGCGTGAACCCTGCTGTTGTAGCCACCCCGGCTGTGTGCTGAACTGATCCCGAAGGGTATGATTATTCCTCGGTCTGCAACGCAAATGTCCCGAGAATTTTAATTGTCTTATAAAATATTTCCCTGGAAGTGACAGCTAAACGAAGGTGTTGATACCATGACTTGTCCTGTGCTATGTGAAACGTAAGAGTGTGCAGTTCCCTCAGTGTATTGTCTTTATTTTTATTAATCAAAAGAGGGATTTTATAAAAAACCAATCCATCCTAAAAATCCTTCTCAAAAGAGCAATGATCTTTTAAACAGTATTAAAAAGTTTCTATTATTGAATTTTTACAATAATGACAATAATCAAAGGATTTTAAATGTGTCCTTTGTATTTCTTATTGTTGTATTGACTTAGAGAATTTTCCATGAATGAAGGACATAAATGAAAATCTTGTTTTATTATGAAGCAATTGATAGATTATTAGTAAATTATTTTTAATAACAAACTTTAACTTTTTTATCTCCTAAGCTGGAAATTCAGCTCTTTTCACTATAAAAACACAGAACAAAACATCTCTCAAATTAAATAGGTTTGAAATTTTATGCTCACTTAAAAATACTCATGATAGCTTACATGTAATCAACAAAGTACTATTTAAAGAAGGGTGTACTGTTTACGCTTTAAGCAGTGTAAAGAAACATACATCTACTAAGGTCTTCACCACAGGTCAAACACCTTCAGCAAAGTGCTGTGCAAAGGGATAACACAAAAGCTGTCCTTGCCCTGAGAATATCACAAAACCCAGCGTGTTGATGAGGAGGAAGTTTGGAAGGAGCCAGCTAACAAGGTTCGGGGGATAAGCAAGGCAATGGGGTACATCATGGGACAGGTATGCCACTATGGATTGATGGACTGGGTTTTTTTGTGGGGGTAGGTCTTCCCAGAAGGTAGAAGGTCTAGGCTTTATCTGTTTTCTAATGCAGCGATACCATTTATTCCTTAGACAGAGCATACATCTTTAAATGGAAGCACAGTATATGCTAGGGTGCACTCCCATGCTCACTCCTCCTGATAACTCTAAAAACAACCTGAGGAGCAGACAACCAAAAAGGCACCATCTGAGTTGAGGTTCCTGCTCTTGCAGGATGTGAGGGCCAAAACTTAAGAGGCAAACCCTGCTTTCACTATGCGAAACTGAGCTCTTTTCGGTAGAGTAAGAAGCAGGGCAAGAATCACGGAAGCATTTTCCTTAATCAAATTAATAGTTTCTGCAGAAAGGCAGAGCTGCTGGTCTACTTATTGACTTCTCTGGCATTGCTGCAGCAGATAATTTAATCCAGAGCATCTAACATGCTTTAAATCTGAAAATTCCTTCCACCAAGAAAGAATACACAGAAGTAATGGCACAAAGGAACTTTCTATACTGCTCTTAGCAACTGGAAAGGCTTTTTCTTACGCTTTTCTGAATCATGTTTCCTGTTGAAAAAAAGCACTGAATTAGATAATGTTACCGAAAGGACTACTCCTGCCATTATCATATACAACACTATTTCACCAAGCAACAGAAAAGGAACAAAGACAAAATTTTTTTTTTCCCCTGATCTTAAATGCAGCTTTTAAAACGTAATCATTTACAGCGGGAAAACATTTCTCTGCAAAGATGAAAGGCATTTCTGAAGGAGAAAGGAGCAAACTGTTCCCGTCAGTCCGCCAAAGGGATATATGAAACTGAGACTCTGCACAGTGCTGAGACAAGCTAGGAACCTACCCACAACGCTTCGGGGGCACAAACCCCAGATTTCATGAAGCAAAGCCAGTCAATAGTTGTTAAAACACCATGTGGACTAATTAGTTTCACTTCTCCAATTCAGAAAGTTACAGTGGAAACATATAGAAGTACCACAGAGAGTTTTGTGGTGAAAAAGCATCTGTGTAAAAGCACATTACCTGTAGAAGGAAGCAAGAACAGAAATGCCCATTTTCCTACTCTTTCTCCTATTGATCAAATAGCCAATATTATGCCTCATTCCTCCAAGCAAAGACTCTGTACCTGCTGTACTTGGGTAGAATAGCAAGGCTAGGAATACTGCCTGTTATTTGTCAGTGGGAGTATTGCTTTTTATGGAGCTTACTCCACACTGGGGAAAAAAAAAAAAAAAAAATTCCCTTCTTCCCAGAGGAAAGCAAAAAATAATGAAGACATAGCCAAATAGCATCCTCTGCTGAGTTATGAATGTGGAACAAGCCACAAGTAGTTACCTGAACGTAGAATCCAAATTATAGACGCATGAGAAAACTGAAATTTATGGATATCTACTCCAGTCCTACATACCTTCTCACGGCGTGACACATACGTATTTCATATAGTCAAATAGTACACTGCCTTTGATCAGCAAGAATTGCCATTTTTTGCTTATATTCATAACATGCTATGTGGTATTTTGGGATGCCAATGAAAACAGAACTATTAATTCTTGGCACAAAAGCCAGGGTCCATTTTCTGGCTCCTTTTTGAAATACATCAAACATACATAGCTAGTTTAATGTATCTTTTGGAGAACAGCAGGGCACATCATTATCTATAGTTTTATGCAGCTTTGTACTAGATACGGTCAAAACATATTTCATAAAGCAAAGATACAAAACTCAAATGTTGATGCATGCTGTCTCATGTCAAAGAAAAGACAATTTTGCTTTCAGGCTCCTGAAATCAACCCACACTGAAAAAGGGTCATTACCTTTTTTGCGCCTTGTTCTTCTTCGACACCATCCCCTATAACAACATACACTACTTTTCTTCCAAATCTTTGAATTATTCGCTCAAAACAACTTTCTTTTCCTGAAAGAAAAAGATCAGACTATTCAGGATAGGTGGTGATGGGATGACATCAAACAAATAACTTTTTTGCCCGGATCTCCCCAACACTTTGAATACATAGCCAGAGCTACTGGGAGAGAAGAGCCTCTCCTGCAGGATGGTGTATCAAGGCCGATTGCAGCTCTACTCCCACCACAGCAGCTGATGGGCAACCTTAAAATCTGCTCCACGAGGTCCTTTAGTACACACGCCGTGGTAGACATAGCTGACTAGAGGTCTGCAATATCGCCTTTCTCGTCTCCTTCCCCAATCTGAGACAGGTTTCGGGGGGAATTGCTCTACCAAGAGAATCTTCTACTGGTTGTTTATGGCCAGTATCCTGAACTGAGCAAATTGATTGACTCTGAGTTGAAATTTTAGCTTTTTCTCAACAACCTGTGACAAGATTAATCACAGTTCCTGAAACAGTAGCATCCTGACTTAGAAGGTCACCTAAAAGATTTAGATTTAAATGTCTGTAACCCAATACATGGGCAAGGTCTTTGATTCTGCACTGGGATTCATTAACGTGGCTCATTACTTCACTGCACAAACCCACGGACATGATCCCAGTGCTCCAGTCCTACACATAGGTGCTGATTCTGGGAAGCTTCAGGTACTGGGAAGCCAGAAAGAATGCTTATAGCTGAGATTTCTCAAATGTCCCCATTCTGAAAGATCACTTAATTCTGGTCATGGTACATGCTTACCTGTGTGTCTACAGTAACTGACAGGAAAAATAATGCTTCTCAAAATAGTTATTTCAGCTACAGAACAATACCAGCATAAGAACAAATAGGTTGGAAATTAAAAAAAGGTTTCTAGCCAGCAGAGAAGTCAAACTACTCAATGACATCCTTTAACAGCAGCGCCAGGCATAAGAAAACTCCAACACTAACTACGTTGAAACGGTACTTGAAAATTAGGAATCTTGTCATGTAACAAAAATCCCATGATCTCCTGTGACAGTCAGTGACTGAACGCAGTTTTCCAAAAATACCCTTCTGACCTATGTACATGAAGTTACAAGTGAATATTTATTAAAATACGTTTTCATTAAAATGTATATTTAAAGTGTTATAAATCAAAGTTTTAATTTACTTTAAAGTTTTGACAGATGGTACTATAACATTTCTATCCAGAAAACAGTTTTAAATCTTTTATGGTAATGCTTTCAAATTTCTACATAAAACTCTCAACCAGTTTTGTTTTGTTTTTTTATAAAAAAAACCCCAAACCGAACAAAAGTAACCCACCATTTTTTCTTGGCCATTTGAGCCTCCTGTATTATAGATACTTAAGAACACATGAAAAATGTTTTCATGTAGCCCACAGTTTTGAGGGAATCTGAGACAGAACAGATATGTCATAATCATGTTAAAAACTACAAGCACTGTTGCCATCTGGTCCTATGTACTTCTACATACTCAGAATAACATCTTTTATATTGAACCAGAAAACAGAAATAAACATTTGCCCGGCTGAAGCTTATTACAGTCAGTATGAATGAACTTAAATAATTACATTCTGCAGCAAAACATTCTTGATTCTGGTAAATTGTTTACCAAAATTTGCTCCAGAGCCCACGAAAACAAATGGAGCCAGGGCTTACCGTTACAGAAATTCTTCTGCTAATCTGGTGAGACTTCAGTGTTCTGTACTCAGAGCCTACTAAAAAGCCTTCTCAACTGCTACATAGCCTCACAGTTTTGAGAAATATGACAAAAAAGTAATTGTTTTCCTCCTAACAGAGGCGGCAGCAGTGTTAATAGAGCTATATGAAGCTTTCTGTGCTGGATCATGACAAACATTTGAAAAGCACTTTTAAGGATGCTTTAGTATGAAAAGCGTCTCACGAGCTCCGGAATTACTCATCTCTGTATTTGCTACAGTGAATGCATGTAAGAAAGAAATATAGACTACAATATCTCTTTATTTAGAATTACAGCTTCAAATGTATCACAACATTATAAAAACAGCTCACCTATTTTAGTTGCACTGTAAATATTCTCTATGGGAAACACAACCCCTAGTCCATACAACAAGACTTTTGCCAGAGCTGGAATTAGCTGAGTAGTTGTTACGAGAATGTTCACACAGTTTGTCCTATGGAAGAGAAAACGGAAACATCCTTTTTTTTTAACAAAACAAAACAGAACAAGGAAAACATTATCCCTCTCATCAGAATCCCTCACCATTATTATCGCCACTTACAAAGAAAGGGATTTTCTTCCACCTTACAGGAGAGCAAGATACAGAGTGGGATGGTCAGATCAGAACAATAAATGAGAATAAGGTTCTCCAGGTTCAGCATTTTGCCCACCAGACCAGGCAGCCTCTTCTAGATCATCAGTAGACATCCTAAGGTTTCCTAACTACCCCGTACTCTTCGCACTTACCTTGAATGAATAAGGGTGAGTGCTTTCAGTGCAAGTGTTAACCAAGAATCCGTCAAAGCTTCAATTTCTGCTCTTAGTTGTAACCAAGCCTCTCTTTTTGCTGGACCAAGAAGACCTGTGGATTAGATAAGGGCATGTCTGCACCAAAATTAAGTAACATTCTGTCATTTTCCTTTGCTTTCATTAGCTCAGAGACCATTTTCCACACACCGCAAACTAAACAGCTCACTAAACACTACCATGTTAGAAAAGGAACAGAAACCCAAAGTTATTCTGTTTTACTACTTCTTATCTATATTTGTTATATACTTAAGAGTCACTTGCCTCCGACATTATTTTTGTAGGTATTGTATATTTCTTTTACGCGTCTGTAGCGGAAAGCCAATTTTCGCATCCAGTCCACTCCTCCGCGCACCCCCGTCGCGAGGCACAAATTTGCACTGGTGGCAGCTGCGGGAAAGCCGTCTGTTCCGAAGTTATAGGTGCTAGTCAGAGATAAGAAAAACCCCAGATCAACAAAAGGCAAAAGGCAACAGGCGACCTTCAACCACCAGCTACTCACTTTGCTGGGTTGCGAAGGCCACGACAGCTAAAAGGACAGCGGGCTACTGTACGTGTTACAGCAGTTCATCGCTTTCCCAGGAAGGAATTTGCAAAGCAATGTTTTATCTTATCTTTATCTTGAATTTCTATCAGTTCTCTGGTACCTTAAATCTTGACCGTTGTCGTCTGAAGACACATCGTCAATGTGAACCTGGTCGCATTCCTAAGGTGACAGAAAGACTTCGTAATTTTCTTGATCTTGCGAATCTCGAAAATAAAGCTATAAAAAACTAGGAGCAATCTACTCATCGGGGATCTTTTTAATTGTGGAAATCAGTAGATGGCAGTCTTGTTAAAACAACTATTTTACCTATTCCTCCTGCTCATTTCTTAGAATAAATGCACACCATCATTAGCTACTACTGTTAAATGGCTTTCGAAAAACACATTTTTGTGTTTAGAAAGCAAAGTGGTTAAAAACAATTAGCATATGTGTTCCATAAACGTTCTTGTAGCCTTTCAGGTACCTTAAAACATCATGCTGCTCAAAGCTGATTCAGTCAGTGCATAAGTGTAACTGAAACCAGACATTTTGGTAAATGTAACATATTAGAAAAATTAAACCTGATGCTAACCGCCAATGAAATTATGACCTCTGATTGCTGTTGAGCCACACACCAACACAGCCTGAGGCCAGCATTTCAGAGGAGCGCAGATGAAAAATCTGTTCCTAGTTTGCCATTCGAGAGTTGTGAGTTTCCTTCTCTCTCTTTGGTCTCAGTGCATGAAAGCAGCATGCAAAGATGAAGAAAATCTGAACAGAAATAGCCAAATCAAACCACTTTTTTCAGCGACCTGTACGCAAACTAACACGGCATATTCATAAGTAGCTTTGTCCATCACTAAATTAAAAATCATAATGCATATTGTTTACCCACCAAAAAAACATTAGAACATTGCTATGAACAATTTAACTTGTGGCAGGAAAACAAATAAACCTCTCACACTCTAGATAAATCTCAACTCAGTGCTTGAAACAATAATAGATTTCAATTATTTTAATAATTTCCTCTTCTCTCTCTTAATGTGAAGTCCTGTAACAAACATGATCTATATTAAACACGAAAACACTGCAATCCTTTATTTTTGTGTTACTGCTTTCCTCTGAACAAATTTTTCTCTCTCCATGGATTTGTGAGGAAGGGAGGGAAGACAGAAGTGGAAAGAAACTCAAACCAGCTGTTCCCTAACAGAATTAAAATCATGACCCTCAACCCTTTTTCTAAAACATCTATTTTCCAGCCAACCCTCTCCCAGCAAGCAGCAAGCTCCAAGGAGGAAAAGACTTTGACCCTATAACCTTCTCCTCCTCTTCTGAGGTCAACAACCTCAGATAAGAAAAAAGCTGAAGAAGTCTATTTGGCCTCACATGATGGCTGTGTATTCCAGATTTTTAAAAACACAGGTTGACGAAAAATACCTCAGCAACTTTTCAGACACTTTGAAGAACAAGGTGTGGTCTTTTGCACTTGTACAACATATTCTTACAGTAATACGTACTCTTTTGCATTTTACACATAGGTAGCTTGTGCTAGAGAGAGAGAGGTAAAAGAGACAACCAGCACAGTAAAGACAATACTAAATTTGCTCGTATTTAACCAAAATACAGCGAATTTCCGCCTCAGGCAGACAAAATGTATTAGATGTACAGACACTGCTGAAACTACAGGTGTGAACATATGTTGTCAGGCTTTGAAAACCAACTTGGCTAAAAAAAAAGCCAGAAACTTCTTCAGTGAGTTATCAAATTCACAGAAATCCAGTTGTGGGGTGGTTTTTTTTTTTTTAAACTGAAAGGAACTGTCCATCCAAATGCTTATGAAGTTAGCAATTCACATATAAATTGAGTGTAAGCTAAGGAAAGGACATCCTCCTGAATCCATGAGTTTCCCATTGTAGTTACTCTTCCACGGCTCAGTTCTCAAAGTCTCCATGGGTAGAAAAATAAGCTTGAGTCGTCAATGTAGCAGTGAAAATTATAAAAGCAATAGCCTCCTCCCTCAGCTTGGAAACTATGAATGACAACTGGAAAAAGTTGCTGGAGAAGAAATTCAAAATAGAAATCTAGAAAAAAAACCCACTTTTTTTTAGTAACCACAAAATTAAAGGAAGGAGTAGGAGATCAGCTTCTCACAGGAGCACTTGAAAGAAGGAATAACTCAACAGACTTCCAAGTTCAGCCTTCTCAGGCAGAAGATAGAGGCAGGAAAGATGACATCACTACATCTTAGATCCCACAGCTAGAGAGGACCTGAGGACTTGGAATTTTAATTTATGCTGCAAGGTTTTGGGACCATCACAAGCCCTGGGACATCACAAACATTCTCGCCTTTTGTCTAATCATCTGCTTTGTAGGTAGACAACAAGAACTGAAATGATCCATTAGAAATAGAAACATGGTATTGAAAGAAAGAAGGGATTTTGGAGAGAAAAACCCAGAAAAGAAATCAGAGACTAAGAATTGGTGGGGTAAAGGTATAGAAACAGTGTCAAGAAAGTAAGGAAAGTGAAGAAAAGGTCATGAACATCACAAATTTCAGGTGAAATACTGTATATAATAGAGAGAGATAGTGTCCTCTTTTGCCAGGAATAAAAGAAGAAAAAAGTAAAGTCAGGAAGGAAACAGAGAAAAATTAAAGCAGGAGAGAGATGTTATAATTCGGAAAGGATTAAAGACCAATGTGATTGACACTACGTTACAAGCAAAGGAAGGTCACAAACAGTGCACGACTGTTTTGTTCCTGTTGAGTGGCAGGACACAGCTTTGAGGCTAAATGCGAGCTTTGAGTGTCAGGTATTTTTTCACGCTGTCTAGCTGACTCGGACTTGGGGCTAATGAGTGATGGGTGCATTTTTCAACCCCTGAACATGGGAAGGAAAAACACTCATTTAGCAATTGCTCTTTTAGCAGTAAAGTTATTTAGGAATACCTCTTCAAAGAAGCCAACTACCTGCCCACCATTAATTGATTTGGTCCAACCTTCCTTCAGAACACCTTGTATGTTTTCACCTGCTTGCTTTGTGTGGAGCATTTTGTCGGTGAGTAGGGACTGCCTGAGACACCGCTAATCATTCAGTCCCCTGATTAGCTGTAAGCAAGCACCCACACATTCAACATTTTAAAACAGCAGTTTACTCCCTATGCACCATAATCAGGGATATTCTAAAAAGAAGTTTGACACTGACCAATCAATAAAGTATGCACTTCTGACCAGAACATTTTTGCAAAGATAGATTTTAATAAAAAAACAAAGACTCACAAAATCCTCAAGTATTTCCCAAAAAAGCTTCTGTGATGGGAGCCAACTTAGAGCTAAATGGCCAATCAGAAAAAAAAAAAAATCCTGGTTTCTTCGCAGGCTTACCATTTCAAACTTTTACAGATATAGTTGACCCTTTTATAAAATTTTCATAGGAAATATAGTACTATTATTCTCCCCCTAATTTCTCTGGCAAAGTGATATCTGACATTAACATTGAAAGTCCCTGTAGAAACACTATAAATACATGTTATTTATGCAGATGTATTTTATTATAACAGAATCAGTTCAGCAGTCAGCTCCAAAGCAGAACATTAAAATTGTTGGATTCTCTTTTAAAATAGTCTGAATTGGCAAGTAAGGAGCAAAATATCCTGTGGCTTATGTATAAAGATTATGCAGCAAGCTGTGTTTTGCTCCTAAAGGTGTTGACCTTGCAACTTTATTGTATCCAGTTTGAAACCTTCATAAGGGACTACAAGTGATGACATGTTTGCACTGAAGGTTTGGATTTCAGTCAGACAGGCTGAGATGCAGCTCTGTACTTTGGGATCAAGTCCTGGAAAGCAAAAGGCACTTGGGATTTCAGGGATAATACTTTCAGAAGGGCAAAATGTCTTAGGCATCTAAACCCTATTCTCACACGGGTCTTCTAAACTGCACTGATTTTAACGAAACCCTTGCCAAAGTGCTTAATCCACACTTGAAAATGAGATTTGGGCTAGTAAAACATACAGAAACTTTAAAAGACCTTATTCATGGTGATACAGGCATGTTCCGTGTATGAGGGGCAGACAGGGGATAGGACAGGTATTCACAAAGGGTCATTTATCCAGGGAAGTGCCGCTGCTCTGATTCTGATCTCTGCTGCGGATCCCTTGCAGCACTGGCCAGCAACCACAGGGCAAGTTGGTCGGAAACCTGGATCAGTTGTTTTTTCTTGGCTGGTCTTCTGTGCAATCACCAGACTAGCTTGACAGCCACTGTGGGAAACAGCAGGAGAGCGGGGCTGGGTGGTGGGAGCGGGACTGGCCCTGCTGGCAGCAGCCTGGCAGCTGCCCAAGGCAGCACCCCCAGAGCGACGTCAAGTAAGTGCCGCCGGCAAGCTGGGGAGGTTCCTTCAAAAGGCTTCACGGAATATTACATTTTAAGAAAGAATTTGAGGCAGAGAGAAAATTCATCTTCCGCAAAGGGAGAGAGCAAGTTCTTTCAGTTTGGGAATGGCAGCACAAAAGACAGCAAGCTGTGAGATGCGGGAGGATTTAAAAGCCTGTAGGAGGGAGACTCCAGTAAAAGCTATTGTCAAGGAAGAGAGAGGATACATTTCCCATATACCTTTAAAGTGCAAGTTTGGATGAGGGAGGACGCTAGATAGGTGATATAAAACACCAGTAACATGCTCAAAGCATGCTCAAAGATACGATGTGAGTGTTGGTTCTGGGGGTTGTCTGTGGACTTTGAAATTAGCCTAAGGGAAAATGAGAGTGTCGGCATGCATAACTCAGCAAATCTGCCTACAGTGGTTTACAAAGCTACTGTCCATGCTGTCCTTTGCTGTTCTCTCACATAGCTGGTTTGCATGGATCTGTGTGTTTGTGTCCCTCAAATCCTTCCGTGCCACAGCTGGTAGCTTAGCTTGAAACAAATCTGCAGCAGCTCAATTAAACCAACAGACATTGCACTGAGTAACTCAGACTTGTTTCTGCCTTCCCTTCCATCAGCTCTGCTTTGGGGCTTGAAGCAGCAGCAATTACGTGCATGCAGGAGCTCCGCAAAACTGTTGCAATCATTTGCTAAGTGAGAATATGTCTCCAGTGAAATGCAGTAAGCCAAAGAAAAAACAACAATCGAAAATGAATGACTAGATGAGCCTAGAGTAAGACTTGTACATGGAAAGCTTGTG